AGCCCACCTTCCTGAACAGCCATTTTCTCCAGGTGAACTGATATCTGTCACCTGGAGATCAATTGTAATAGCAGGGACTATCCAGCCGTTTCCTGGAGGTTGGCAATCCTACCACTGAGCCACGGCCCTCCCCTCTTTCCCACTAGGAGTTGCTGTTTTTGCAGTTGCCTAAGGAGGGTCTCCAGAGACCAGCTTGCAGCCAATAGAGCATTTCCATGAATGGAAGGACTTCTGCTCATGGAACATAACTTCCTCACCTCCTGCTGCAGCCAAAAACAACACCTGTCCCCCAGGAGCAAAGCAATAACTCCTTCACATTAAACTGTGCTTGCCCTAGAACAAAGTTTGAGTGGCATTTTTAAGACCAACAAAGTTTTATTCAAGCTTTCGTGTGCAAGTCTATATGGTTACCACAGTCAATTGCCCCACTTAAACAAAGAAGATGCTGTAAAGTCATCTCCATGCTTGGGAAGAGATGGATAGCAGGGTCTCGATTAATTACTCACAGCATTCCACAATTAAGGATACATCGATCACCAATTTTGACATATTTATTTCCTTCACCACCACCCCCAAGAACTGAACTCAAACAAATGGTAACCGTATAAACTGATCTTATTATCCCTGCGTGATCCTTGAATCTGTTAAACATCTTCATTATACTGCTCACCCTCCACCTATATGTATGGGCTGGTCATTCCTATTTTTGTTTCTGTCTCTGTGTTTACTCTAATTGGTCCCCCCCTCTTCCTACATGTAATGGTTGAGGAAATTCTATTTCACTGTATCTGCAAAAGTGTGCGTACACATAAAAGCTGATACCCTGAATAAAACTTTGTAGGTCTTAAAAGTGCCACCGGACTCAAACGTCATTCTGCTGCTTCAGACAAACACGGCTTACCGCATGTATCGATGTGCATGCCCTAGTACCTAATCCCGCAGAAATCCATCACCTTTCTTGCTCGGCCCTGGCTTTCAGGCACTTTGGTAGTGTTTTGCAGCTCAGAAACACTTAGCCCGACTGGTTCTGACACACACGCTTTTTGAAAAACGAGAATAGGAAGTTGGATCACAAAGGCCGGGCAGATGGATTGAGAGCAACAGCTTCCAAGTGCCACACTGAGCATGCTCGGAGAGATTGAGGCACCGTCTCACTACAAGATAAGCGCCGACAGAATTGTACAGAAGCAGAAAATGTGTGCCTGTCCCTTCCGCCTTTCCCCGCCAGCAGTAGCAAGCTCTTTTCTCTACCTAGTGCTGCTTTCCGCCCTGCTTGAATTGCACCTGTTTTAATAAACCGCTTCCCAAACGGCAGCACAAACTCACAAGAGCTACCTTACCCTTGCTTACAGGGCACTCTCCTCCCTTCAACCATTGGCTCCACCTCCTAGAGCTTTATTTGGTCCTGGCTGAGCTCTAGAGGACGAGAGTCATGCTACTCTTCCTCCCTCGGTATGCGGTCCCACCTTGTGTTACAGGGCTTGACTTTTCTTTACTGTTCCAATTGCCTCCTTTTCTGCCAGTCCCTGAAAGGGCTGGCTTCAATTCTGCTAATGCGCAAGCGTATCTGAAACCCATTCCCACCACTAGAGAGGAAGATACTCTCTAAGCGCAGGGAAAACGCTGAATTGCTTCTCTGATTGGCTGGCTCCCTCCCTCCCTCCCCCCACCCACCCACTCACTCACAGCCTCTCGGTTCTTCTCAGGCTCGAAAGGAGTCGCAGAAACTCTTCTGAGTTAGGAAGAGGACGGGCTGCTATCCCAAGAACGAACTTCTCCGTTTTTATACAAAGCGAGCACCTTTCACTCCGCCCCCGGCGTGACCTTTCAAGGAATCTTTCTCACTCAGAGCAAAACATAGGGTTGCCAGCCTCCAGGTGGGGCCTGGGGATGTCCCGCTTTTACAACTGACCTCCAGCAGACAGAGTTCAGCTCCCCTGGAGAAAATGGCTGCTTTGAAGGGGGGTTCCTATAGTACTGTACCATGCTGAGGCCCCTCCCCTCCCCAAACCCCGCCCTCTCCTGGATCCTCCCCCAAAGTCTCCAGGTATTTTCCAACCCAGACCTGGCAACCCTAGCAAAACTTCCTGCTCTACCCGCAGCTTCCCTGTCCAGTCACCATCCCCTGATAGGGAACTGAGGAGGGCTTTTTAAAAACTGCTCCTGCTAGATACTTTTTTCTTTTCAAGGTCCTGATAATATATTCACCAGAGCTGGCTTCTTTCTATTCACATGCTACTTTTGTCAGGTGGTTCTCTGGCTCCTGTTTTTTACTCACCCACTTCCTTCCATCTTGTGGGACTTCCTCTGTGTACAGTTCCACTATGAAGGGTGAAGCATAGAGTTGTTGCCACTATATTCCGAACTGCAATGGTCTATGTTTTCCCCCCAGAAGTGGATGACAGCCATAAACATATTAGTGAGGGAGCTTATTTAGGAATATAGTTGCATCTTGCCAGAGTAAAGTCTGCTATTTCAGGTACATTGCCTGACATCTGTTTTTGGTTACTCTAGAATGTGATGTAAGCATGGAATGGTGAGATTTGGCTGGGCAGGGAAGAAATTATACATACCTCCACATTAGGGTCCTCCATCCAGGTACCTTAGAGGACTGGATTTCTTTAGCTCAAGCAGTAGAACTACATCAATTACCTTTGGGGTATTCTGCTCTTATTAATCCAGGGGGAAAGTTGCTCCACTATACTATTTTATTTTATTTATTACATTTTCATCCTGTCCTTCCTCTAATGCATTCAGAGCAGCATGCTAGCTTTGCAACATCCCCTGCAAAGGCTGTTACCCTGAGTCTTGTCAAAATCCACCCAGAGAGTTTCATGACTGCTAGGATTTGAACTACTTCTAAATCAATATGGTCACCACACCACAGTGGTGTGATCAGGCTAATTTTTTTCTTTGCATCTAGCCTTGCTATAATTAGAGTTATTTTTTTAAATGTACATTCCATCCTCACCAAATGCTCCCAAGGAAACTCAAAGCCTTATGGATGAGCATCTTTATACAACAGCAGTTAATCAGTCTAAATTCTAAATGGACTGCTGTAGGAACATGTCAGTAACTGTGACTTCCCTTACAACACAGGTTCAGTTTGGTTGCTGGGATACTATTTTATTTTGGCTGCCACCTGTGTCTCTTAATGGCAGAAATTCCAAAATAATTATGTGACGCACTCGCTGATCTGCAGATCACATATAATCATCAATGTATCTGATTCTCAACCTGGCCAGATCTGACATCTAAAAGGCAGGGATGGACTGGCTGTTAAGAGCACTGTTAAGAGCACCAGGACACCCACCTCTCTCAGTGGCCTGATGGTTCCTCCCTGCTTGGGCTCGGCCAGCACTGTGATAGAAGGGCCCCGTGCAAGCTGAGGAGGTGGCACCCAGCCTGCATGAGGCAAGGTGGAATGGGCAGTGCCCATCTTGTCTGAGCCCCACACAAGGTAAGGCAAGTCAGGGGAGGTGGTACCCGGCCTGCCTGAGCCCTGTGAGAGGCAAAGCAAGGGAGGTGGTGCCCAGCCTGCCCAAGTTTCACATGAGATAAAGAGAGGCAATAACAGCACGTGTCTTAACTTGTGTAAGGTGGGTCGAGGAAGGCAGCTGTGCCTGGGTCAGCCTGCATGGGGCAACGCGAGGGTGGTGGCGGCGGCACCTGGATCAGCCCACACAAAGTGAGGGAGGAGGAGGCAGCAGCACCCATATCCTATGCAGGGTGAGGCAAAGGAGGTGGCTCCTAGTTCAGCCTACCCAAGCCACATGCAAAATTAGGGAAGCAGTGCCTGGGCCACTTGAGTGTGCCAGGTGAGAAGAGCAGCACCTGGCCGATTGGCTAGGCAGGCTGCCCATCCCTCCCTCACTCACTCCCTCCCTCCCACCTTCGGAGGAGTGGAGCTGGGGCTAGGGATTTGGGGGAGAGCCCTTTTCCAAGGGTTTTCATTCCCAGTCCTCCCCTGCTCACAGTGTTGTTCTATGGATAAAATGGAGGAGAGAAGAATGAATTGATCTCTTTTGGGTCTCTGTTGTAGAGAAAAGTGGGGTATAAATGAAGTAAATAATAAATAAATAAATATAGCTGAAGATAAAAGTTAGGCTAGTGGTTGGGTGGGAAGGAGAGAAGCAGGCAGGGAAAGGTAAAGATATGAAGAAAGAGGGAAATAGTGTGGGGGAGGGGACACAAGGGACGATGAAGTTCCCCTTGCATGTTTCCCACTGTGCAACTGGGCCTACAGGAGGGAAAACTAAAGATGGGTGGAAGATATAGGTAGATTGGCTGGTGGGTAGGGAAGGATGAAGGAAAAAAAGGAGAGGCGATGGGGGCTTTCAGGGAAAGGAAAAATGAAATAGTGAGGGAGGGGGAAATGAGATGCCTCCTGCAAATCCTTGCAGGTTCCTGCTTGTATCTAATCCTTAAAGAAGGAAAATAAGGAAACCAAACAAACCACTTTTCCTTGTTACTTCTTTTACTGCAATCACCAAGCTAAAGTCATTTTCCTTGTTCTAACTGTTTTTTTGTGTTTTGAACAGGACTGCTTGTGATCTGAACGAAGTTCCTCTTTGGATTTAATATAAAAGCATTAAAAGACTAACTTCATCTTCTCATTCAGACAGCAGCCTAACCAGAGGATGGTTCAAGCCTGGCCCCATATTGGGTTTTATTTCTCATTTTGATTTCTGTTGAGGAGGAGGAGATTGGATTTATACCCCGCCCTTCACTCGGAGTCTCAGAGCGGCTTACAAACTCCTTTCCCTTCCCCTCCCCACAACAGACACCCTGTGAGGTAGGTGGGGCTGAGAGAGCTCTGACAGAAACTGCTCTTTTTCAAGAACAGCTGTGCCAGAACTATGGCTTGCCCAAGATCATCCAGCCAGGTGCAAGTGGAGGAGTGGGGAATCAAACCCGGTTCTCCCAGATTAGAGTCCACGCACTTAACCACTACACCAAATATAATACCCCATCAAAGATCTGGGAAACAATTTTTTACAGGACTTCTCAGGAAAGATGGTTTATTTGGCAGTGCTTTCATCATTAGGCTTATGCTTGTCTTTTATGGAGTTTATCAGGACAGATCCATGCTGGTAAAATATACAGACATTGACTATCAAGTATTCATTGATGCTGCCAAATACATCACAGGGGGGCAGCATCCTTTACCTACCGTTATACTCCGTTGCTGGCTTGGATTCTAACCCCAAACATCTACATTACTCATCTGTATGGAAAGCTCCTCTTTATTGCTGGGGACCTGGTTGCTGCATACCTCATGTACCAGATTCTTCTGCTCAGAGGGCAGGAGAGCAGGAAGGCCTGTGGGTGCTGCGTATTCTGGCTCCTCAATCCCCTGCCAATGACTGTGTCCAGCCGAGGAAATGCCGAGTCCCTTGTAGCCGGCCTAGTCCTGGGCACCATGTATTGTATGGAAAAGAGGCATCTGGCCAAGGCTGCTGTTCTTTATAGCCTGTCTGTACATATGAAAATTTACCCAGTGGCTTATGCATAGCCAATAGCTCTCCATTTGCAAAGCAGCAGAAGCTACGGGAAAGGGAAGACTGACATGCCAGAGAAACAGAAAACCAACCGCTTGGTGGGCATCATCTGGGGGCTTTTCTTAAGGCTGTTCAATTGGGATGTTCTGCTTTTTGGAACTGTGGCTGGATGTACCTTTGCTGCCCTGGGACTCGCTTTTTATTTCTGTTATGGCTGGAACTTTCTGGAGCAGACCTACCTCTACCACTTGACCCGGAGAGATATCCGCCACAACTTCTCACCCTGTTTCTACATGTTGTACTTAACCGCAGAAAGCAAGTGGCATTTTTCCCTTGGTCTTGCAGCTTTCTTGCCTCAGACCCTGTTGCTTTTCGTTCTTTCTTTCACTTACTACAAAGATCTTGTCTTCTGCTCCTTCCTGCATACAGTGGTTTTTGTGAGTTTTAACAAAGTCTGCACCTCCCTGTATTTTCTGTGGTCCCTTTGCCTCCTGCCACCTGTAATCCCCTTTTTGAGGATGTCCTGGCAGCGAGCTGCATTCCCTCTCCTGCTCTGGCTTATGGGCCAAGCACTGTGGCTGGCGCTTGCATACTTTTTGGGATTTGAAGGGCAGAACACTTTCTTGCTCACATGGCTAGCAGGCTTACTCTTTCTTTTTGTCAACTGTGTGATTCTTGTCCAGATTATTGCTCACTATGGCACAGGGCAGATGACCAGGAAAATTAAGCTACAGTAAAACAAATTCTACAGGCAGCTCTCAGCACAGAGTTATCCATGTGAACAGGACTGGGTAACAACTTTTTTGTGGTGCTAATCTCGTTTTGCAATGTTGTTGTTTTGGAGAGGTTTGCCCTTGGTTTACAGTATATTGGATATGAAGAGGTCTGGGGAAGGGCTAATGATGTAAGAATAACAGATCCTGATTTTTAGGAAGTCTTTTTGTTTGTTTATTTAAATAGAAGGTAAACATAAAATTCTTTGACGCTGCTCCTGCCCACTCCAAAGATCTGTGAGAGAGATCTTCCCAGCAAAAGACTTGGGAGGGGCAGGAGGCTCTTGCATCTTGCTGAGCTTTGTAGCAAGAAGAAGCAGTATGAGAGACTCCTCCGGTTCTTCTGGTAAACACTGAGAACCTGCTGAAGGGGCAGATTTGGCGGCAGCCAAAGAAAATGTCCAAACCAGGATTTGGAGAGCCTCTGCTATTTGCTGTGATGGTTGTTTGTTTAGAACTTGTTAAGAATTTAGTTTTTAGTTAAGTAACTTTTGGGGCTAGAAATTATGTAAACTCAATTCCAGGTCTGTATTCAACTACATAACCTTACCCTATTGCCTCTAACACAGGAAAGCAATGAAATGAAGCCATGCAAGCATTTCCATACTGGCATTTCCCCAGATGGACTGATGAACTCCATAGCAGAGCTAAGGAGAAAGTGTCATTTGGAGGGGGATACTGGGGCCTTCTGGAACACCATAACCATATCTACCTGCTCTCAGACAAGTGTATCCATTTTAATTCTACCAGTCCTCTGAGGCCCATGTGACAGCTTGCGTGGTTCTCTTCCATTTTATCCTCACAGCAACACTGTGAGGTAGGTTTGGCTGGGAGAGAGTACGCAAGCAATTTAGTGAGCTTCATGGTTGATGAAGAGGGATTTGAACCTCACCAGAACTCTATAACCACTACACCAGCTCTTGATATGGCATGCATTGACCATCTTGTAAAAGATGCTGGTTTAGGGTGGTGGTGGTGGTGGTGCTGAGAATGCTAGCTGGTTTGAGGATGGCAGGTCCTTGAATAGCAGAAAGGTGTGAGCTTAGCAGAGAGTAGCAGAAATTCAGAGTTCTGGGAAACTTGAAAGCTCGTACATTGTGTGTTATTTTGGTTGGTCCTAATAGAAGGTATTATGTGGCAACAGGTAGTAACCGACCTGCTGTATTTTGGACTGACTAAAGCTCTGAGTTGTCTTTGGGTGTAGCCCCACACAAAGCGTGCTACAGTAGTTTAGCCCCAAGATTATTATAGCATGGATCAGCTTGGCTAGGATGGCTGAATTTAAATGGGGGCAATAACTTTTGAGTCAGAGTTGGGGGGGGGATTTTTAGCCTTCATGCCAACTTTCTTTTCTAGTAAGAAGGCTGAGTCCATCAGGACTCCCAAGCTCTTAACAGACAACCCCCTCCCCCATAAGACTGGTAGTACCATCTCTTCTATTATATCTACCTTACCAACCAACATCACTGCTGTCTTATTTAGGCTCAGCCTTTGGAGAATCTCAGAAAAAATCCAGTACTGGGGGAAACCACTAAGAACACTTCAACCAGTGCTTTTCCTTATCTAATGTACAGATATGCTATACTTGCAAAGACACTCTCAGCTGATCTTGACAATACAGGTCACATGGGAATGGATGGCAAATGTCTGCTTCCTCCCATGTTTACTTTGAAGACAAGGACTGTTATCAGGAGAGGAAAATATATTATGTCAAAAGCCTCTCCACAACATGGCTATATACAAATCAGTGCAAGAGTCAGCCTGTAAATGCTGCTATGGCTTGTGCAGCTGTTTTGAGAGCATCTGTGGAAATATCACATGCAAGCTTGCTAGCAATGACCTGAAGAGCTGGCAGTCCCCCCCCCCCCCCCCCCCCCCACTCTTTCATTTTCGCGATCACACCACGGACGTCTGGAGGCAGCCCGTGGCAAACGTTCACTTGTACCTTGGAGGTACTAGTTTTTAAATGTGCATTGTCGGCGGTAAGCCACGGGTGCGCTCCACTTCCCAGATGTTGGGGTGTGATCACACCTGGATAATCTGCCCACCTTCCGTGCCTCTCCGGCGGCAACTTTGCCATGTGACCGAAGCCCTGATGTACAGATATGCAATACTTGCAAAGACAGTCTCAGCTGATCTTGACAATACAGGTCACATGGGAATGGATGGCAA